GAATGTCCTCGGGGACCTCTATCTGTCAGGGCTCAGATAACCAATGTCCCTGGAAGGGACTAACCAGGGCCTGGGGCTCTTCACATAGGCTCCCCTAAACCAACTGTCTATCAGAAACCCAGAGCCTTGGGTAACTCTAAATATAGAAGGAAAAACTGGTTGATTTCCTTCTTAACACCAGAGCTACCTTTTCTGTCCTCCTTTCCACTCCAGGCCGACTACCCAAACGTGACCTCTGGAAACTTCTAACTAAATTTTTCTCTCAGCCCCTGGGATGTAGATGGGGAAATCTAATTTCTTCTCATTCTTTTCTCATAATGCCAGAGAGCCTTACTCCATAGCTAGAAAGGGACATTGTAAGTAAATTAGAGACTAGGGTGCTACTAACTCCAGACAGATAAACCATTATGTGAGCTTTTGAAAATTACTGGATATTGTAGGCTATAGATAACAGGATTCAGGAAAATAGTTTGCTCCTATATGAATTATTAAAGGAGACTCAATCCCACCTACTCTCTGCACCCCCCTCCCCAAATAAACTGGGGCCTGACTTCTAGACACTGTCTCCAGTCCTTGGAATGGTTACAAACAGAGCAGGGCAATTACTGTTACCATGCTCACAGAGCAAAAGATTATTAAAATACAGCACCAGGCCTTTCATTTAGGGAGGGACAAAACTTATCAAATGGCCCAAAGGATGTTTACTCGAAAAAACTTGTCAAGGAGAATTCTGCAAGTAGTTTCAGGCTGTAAAGTATGTCTTAAAAACAATCCTTTCAACCACAAACTTGCTCTCCCAGACAATCAAGGAACTGGAGACTATCCAGGAAAGACTAACAATAAGGTCTCACTCAGATGCCAAAGTAAAAAAAAAAAAAAAAAAAAAAAAAAAAAAAAAAAATTCCAGTATCTGTTTGTGGGGGTTAATACTTTTACTAGTTGGGTAAAGGCTTTCCCCTACAAGATAGAAAAGGGACAAAAAGTAATAAAAATTCTGCTTTATAAAATAATACCCAGGTTTGGCTTAACTGAAAATTTACAAATTAATAATGGTTAATGGCTACCTTGACTCTTTCTCTAGTAGAACTCCTGGCTCTTGAAAAAGTTTTACAACTCAAAATAAAACAAACTGCATATACTCAGCAAAACTCTAAGTAACACCTTACAAGCATTAGATGCTTAAAAAAATTTTTTTTTAATTCAGTTAGGGCCAAAGTCTTGGAAATAGAGCCACCATTGATTACTTACTGCTCCTGCTTCTCCATCACTTGGGTTATGAGAGATTCCCTGACATATATTGTTTACAAAGTCAGGGTCTCTCCTAGATTATTTGACAGATTTGGAAACTGTAGACATTAAGATGCCATCTTATTGGTCAGTATAATCTTTACTTTGTGTTTTTCTCTTTGTGTCTGCTAATGTTTATGCCACCTCATGCCTGCCAGCCTTCCTGTAAAACCACACTGTGGGCCACTTGACTGACCCATGGGTAGACTCTAACTGCTATACCCCTACACCATCCCTTACCAGCTTGGAGAAGCCAGAACAGTTATTGCCCCTGTTCCCTAACAGCAGTTACAGGCCCTATTCGAGGGGAGAAATAAATAGGGAAAGGGTTACATTAGGGAGGGAAATATAAGGGCCATCCAGGGAGGCAGACTGCGGCTGCAGTGGGAGGCTAAAGAAGCAGATGGGGTTCTCCCTTTATAAAATCCTTTATAGGTGCCCTCCCCCCATTATCAAGGGCATAAGGCAGGGGGATCTAAATGAGACAGACAATCTAACCCTAAGACAACAGAAGCGGGCCCTTGGCTTTACCTTAACCACCTTAGACCACTGGGTCAGGGAGCGATTACATGTGAATCTGACCACAGACACTCACCCCTTTTAACCAGGAGATGCAACATGGATAAAGGAATGAAATGTCCAACCCCTAAAACCCCTCTGGAGGGGCACATTCACTGTCATTTTGTTCACCCCTACTGCAGTACCGATCGCTGAAGTGGGTCCCTGGATTCACTACAGCAGAGTGAAGCTGGAATCTCAAAACTGGGAGTGCATTCCTGATCTATCAATGCTGTGCAAGCTCACCATATGGAAGAAGCGGTCTGCAACTCCGGAGGCTCCAGGAGACGGCAGCCCCGCTTTAGTCACTCCAGAAGCTGACTAATCTACCCAGGGCAAAAGCCTGAGGAATCAACAGTCCAGTGAAACAAAAGACTGTCCTTATCTTCTATGTTTCCTTACTGTGATGCACTGTCACACCTTGCTTCTCACTATTATTATGATTCTTGCTCTACTCTTTGCTATAGGATGGGCTGAGGCCGCTCCGGCCAGCTAAAAATGTGATAAGTAATGTGATAAATGTGATAAATGTGTTTCTGTTAACACTCACCTTCCTTTTGTGGATAGGATACTTCGTTGGTACCAACATGGCGAAACAAAGGCCATAAAAAACTAAAAAAGTTAGATCCCCACAAACTTATAGTAAAACAAAATACCCCAGTCCTACTATCAGGGTTTGACTTCTCAAAAGGTCAATTATTGAAAAAAAACTGTCTTGCTTAGTGTGAAAAAAGCTCATCGTCATCTCTGTTAAAAACTTAACATGCCTAGGCCAAACATTTTCTAACTCAACTGCCTGAAAAACCCAATGGTGGGGGACTCAGATCACCTTGAGCCAGATCCCCACTCCTTGTCTAACTTCTCTCATCTCTGAGAGGCCTGGGACAACATCAATGCAGCTATCAAATGGCGGGCCCCAGGTGGACTATATACTAGAAATGTGGAAGGACAGCCTATATAAACCTCTAAACCAAGATGATGCTCTTTGACCCTAAATAGAGGGGTCTGAGCATCAAAGGGGGGAATGTGGTAGGGTCCCCTCCCTAAGGAAAGAAAAAAATAAAAACCTCAAGGCAACCTTGCTCTTCGCTTACCTGACAACATCCCTCAGGACCTTGTAACATGAGACCACTTAATCAGACTACATGTTTGTGTTTTACCATATATGGGAGACAAAGAAGTGAAAAATACATAAAAAACTACTCCACGTGGCGTTCAGGGCTCATTTCTTCGGGTTAGAACACAACTGAGTGGTGCTGGCAGGAATAAAGTTGCTTCCTAGAAAGAAAAGCCTCAGGGTCTGGACTCTCTGTTGTGAGAATCCTGCTACAAAATAACCACAATGTGTTCTATCCAAGCCATAGACTACTATATGATCATAGAGAAGGAAGTAGTGACCTGTACTACAACATGAGTGAACCCTGAACACATTATGCTAAGCACAAGGCAATCACAGAAGATCATATACTGTAGGATCCCATTTATATGAAATATCCAGAATACAAAAATTCATAGAGACAGAAAGTAGGTTAGTGGTTTGTCAGAGGCCAGGGGGAGGATGGGATGAGGGGTGACTGACTGCTAATGGATATGGGTTTCTTTTTGTGGTTGCACAACTGTAAATATGCTAAAAATCATTGAATTGTACATTTAAAAGGAGTGAATTTATGATATATAAATTGTATAAAGCTGCTTTAAAAAATTATAGCCCCCCAGCCCCTTAACTTTTTTTTTAAATGTTTATTTATTTTTTAGAGTGAGAGACACAGAGCATGAGCAGGGAAGGGGCAGAGAGTGAGACACAGAATCTGAAGGAGGCTTCAGATTCTGAGCTGTCAGCACAGAGCCCTAAGTGGGGCTTGACCCACGAACCATGAGATAATGGCCTGAACCAAAATCGGACGCTCAACCTACTGAGCCTCCCAGGCACCCCTACCATAACTTTTAATCCATTACCCTGCTGTATTTTTCCTTTGTTTCCATAGTGCTGTCAATATACCATATAATTTTTTTTTTTTAAGCGGGAAAGGCCCCAGCCTCTGCCCTCCAGGAGAGGCAAATGATTAACTCTAACAGTGGTGAGGAGGCTTTACATATGTTTTCAATATAACCCCTTAAACCTGATTCCCTCATCTGTTAAATAACACTACAATGACTTCATTCACAGGGTTGTTGTAAGGACCAAATGCAAAAATATTCCTCTTGCACAACACCTGGTGATGAAAGATTGGTACCCGTGGCAGAGGTGACTAGTTGCTTAGTGACATCCATTCTCCCTGGCTCCATCACTATCCACCCCAAATCTTGTTAAAGATGGCAATGGGCCCAACTGAAGACCTACACGTGGAGGTGTCCACATGATCCTGGTAGGGTCAATGACAGGAGATTGGAAATTCGTGGGTGTGGTTTCTGGGAAAGCCTCTCAATAGAGGTCAGATTTGGCTGACTCTCAGGACATCGGAGACCCATGAATGGCACCTCTTGCGGTTGTCAAGGCGGCAGACCAGCCATGGCCTTTCTTTGCCCTTGCCTTTCCCTATCTGGAAGGCCAGAGCTCCAAAAGGCATCTTTCCAGCCACAAGATGGGGGGTGAGGGCCACAGGGAGTCGGCAATGGGATTCAAAGTTCACAGTCCACCTTTAAGTTGTCTAGGCCCTAAGAAGGTCTAAGTGTGACAAAGTGATCATTGGGGACCTGCAGCATTTGCCTTGAACTGCCTACCTTCAAATTTCCCATTTCATGAAAGAGAAAAGAAATATTTATTTAAGCCATAGTGTTTTAGGTTCCTGTTGCTCACAACTGAATATACTTCCTATACAAAATTAATGTCTAGGGCACTGAATTAGTATGCTTTAAAACTCAAGACAGGATCATGGCATCACGTTGTATGTAGGTAACAACATTCCACAATCAATGAGTAATTCATATATCCCAAGGGAACCACAAGTTATTCCCCATAATATGTTTGTGATGAATTTCTGAATGCCTTGGACCACTCTGGGGCCATCTACATCATGGCCCTACATCATGCTTCATGGTAAAGTAGGACTTGGAAACAGTAAAGGCAAAGTTAAGTCTTCTAACAGTCCACTCTGGAAACATTTTAAGAGAACACTTGCTTTTCTGTTCCAAAAAGTTAATTTCTTTATTCTTACCTCTGCGGATTGATGAATCTGAGAACGGATGGCTTAAAGTATTGCTGAACCCTGGGGTGGTATCCTCTGAAATCTGTACCACATAGCTATCCATGGGCTCTCTAGTCTTTGCATGTGGTTCTCCATGATTTCTTTGTGGCTCAGATGAAGGTGAACTTGTGGAGGCACTAGACTTGGTCTGGACGTTACTATCTACTGCTTTCCGAACCAGACGCTGATGATCTCCAGAACTAAAGTCTATTGGTTCACTGACGTCCAAGTCCATTTTCCTGAAGGACGAAAATCATTATTTAAGTCCTTGTGCTCATGAACCCACTACAACCTTAGCATCCTCATACCATTCAAGGAATTTTTTTTTCTTAATTTTAACTGCCTTAGCTCAGTACTTACCAAGTCAGTACTTAACAAATATTTATTGGATGAATGATGAATACTTTTAAGATGAGGTCTATGGAGTAAAATAACTTGCATTCTATTATAAAATTAATGTTTATAAATTCATTCAGCAAAGACTTAATAATCTCCCTCTTATGTGCCAAGTGTGCAGCTGTCCTCATCACCTCTGCCCTCAAAGTGCTTATATTTTGGAAGAGAAGATAACCAAACAATATAAAAGGCAAAATTTGACAATAAACTTCATATTAAAAAACACATATATAAAAGGCAAAATAAGCAGGGTCAGGAACAATGGATGATATGAGAACCCCCAATGAAATCTGGAGGAATATGCAGGAAGTAGAAGAGGTTGTCAAAAGCTTCCAGAGAAAGTGAAGTTTAAGCCAAAGTTGGAAGATGAGTAGGAGTAAGAGGTGGGGAAAGGCAGGGGAATCAGCCTGGACCAGAACTGGAAGCAACAGAGAGGTCAGGTTCCAAAGCAGAATCAGGTTAGACAGAGGACTAGTTAGGGCAGGTCAGTGAGGGGCTGGCAAGCCAAATTCATCCTGAAGGTAATGACTGTGGTAGGCAGAATAAATGCCCCCACCCCCAAAGAGGTGCACATCCTAATCTCTGGAACTGGCAAATGCTACCTCCCATAGCAAAGAGAACATTGCAGATGTAAGTTAAGGATTCTGATGTAGGGATGTGATCCAGGGTTATCTGGAGGACCCAGCTGAATCACAAGCATCCTTAGGATTATACCTATAAGAGGGAGGCTGGAGGATCAGAGTCACAGAAGGAGATGTGACCACAGGAGCAGAGGTCAGAGTAATAGAGCTGCTGTCTTGGAAGATGGAGGGAGTGGCCAAGAGCCAAGGAATGCAGGAGGTCTCTGGAAGTTGGAAAAGATAAGGAATACATTTATTCTCCTCTAGCATCTCCAGAAAGGAATGCTGACACTTTTGTTTTAGCCCAATGAGACTGATTTTGGACTTCTGATTTGCAGGACTGTAAGATGAAAATATGTATTGTTTTAAGGCATCATGTTTATAGTAATTTGTTACAGCAGCCATAGACAACTAACACAATGAGGAATTACTGAAGCTTCTCTAGCAGGGCACCATGGGGATCTGACTAGAAAGGTTGCACTAGGCACAGTGTGGAGAAAGAGCCAGAATAAGCAAAAACAGAAGCAAAGAGACCAGAAATCCAGATAAGAGATTACGGTGGCTCCGCCACAGTGCTTTAGAGCAGAACACAGTTCTTAGAAAACCAGTACTAAATGAACCAAAAGTGGCAAATAAATGCCCCCCACCATTAACCTCAGGAGGACATGAAGACTCAGACAAGCCCCTGCTGCTGGCCTTCTGCCCCACAAAGTCTGAGTAGATTGTTGAGAGGGCCAGGGATTGGGCAAACCATAGACCAACTGGGAATGGCATAAACAGAAGGTCTGAACAGAACACCACACTCTTGGAGAGACAGATTCTATTTTGTAAAGATGTCCTTCTCTTCAAATTAATCTCTAAATTTTACAAAATTCATTGAGTTTTTTTTTTTTAGTACTTGAAAACGTTAACTCTAGAGTTCATCAGAAAGAGTAAATATATGAGAATAATCAAAAAAATTGAAAGAGAAGGATTATGGGAAGGTGGGGAGTAGCGATTTACCTTATCAAACACCAAAATATAATGGAGCTATAGAATTAAAAGTGTGGTGTTAGCACATCAATAGATAAATGGATTGATGGAATGGAAGACATGTAAGAAATAGACCCATGTATATATGAGAATTTAAAATCTGATGAAGGTGGAGTTTGAAATTATTGTCCCATGGTGTTGGAACAATTAGCTATGCATGGAAAACAAAGTTAAGAACCATTTCACATCTTTTACAAAAATGTATTCCAGATGAATTAAAGATATTATAATCTCTCATAAAATATACAATATCTAATAGCCATAGATATTCTATAAGAAAATATCAAAAAAAATCTTCATAGGCCTTTGGAAGAATGATACCATAAAAGAAAGGCTTGCTAAATCTGGGGTACAAAAACACTTAAAATATCATTATAAAAAGATACCAATAAGTCTGAAATGCAAAATTGTGAAAATAAAGTTTGCAATGTTTACTGTGAAAAGTTTCTAACAAGGAAAAGATGAGCAATTCAACAGAAAGATGAGAAAAGAATATAAATAGGAAATTCACAAGGGAAAGTTACATGGTCAGTGAACTTAGGGGATAATCCCTCACAAATATCCAAAGAAGTGCAAGTAAAAACAACTGTGAGGGCACCTGGGTGGCGCAGTCGGTTAAGCGTCCGACTTCAGCCAGGTCATGGTCTCGCGGTCCGTGAGTTCGAACCCCGCGTCAGGCTCTGGGCTAATGGCTCGGAGCCTGGAGCCTGTTTCCGATTCTGTGTCTCCCTCTCTCTCTGCCCCTCCCCCGTTCATGCTCTGTCTCTCTCTGTCCCAAAAATAAATAAATAAATAAAAAAACGTTGAAAAAAAATTAAAAAAAAAAAAAACAACTGTGAACAGTCTTCAAGTAAAAACAATTGTGGTTTTTGTTTTTTGCATAAAAGACTGGTGAAAACTAAAAAGATAAATCTCAGAGTCACGAGGGTATAGAAAAAATGGATAACCTAGGGCCACATTACGACTTGTGGGGGTCCTACGTGCATTTGCTTTTGGGGATCCCCCTCCACACAAAAAATATTAAAATATACATTTTATGACTGCACTAGTGTAAAAAAAGTACAATCCAGGCTGGATTAATTGTATATTTTTTATTCATTTTTTTTTCTGATTTTAAAAGAAATTAAAATTTTTTCATGACCCCTAAAAGGACAGTGGACCCTAGGCAACATGCCTATTGTGCCCAGTGGCGAAGTCAGCCCTGAGATAACCTCAGGGAGTTGGCAGCTATGTAAAGCTTTTTCTTGTAGTAATTTGGCAGCATCAGATTCAAAATGCCCAACAATTACATTTTCAGGAGGTTATCCCGTAAAAATATCTGAACAGGCAATGATACAGGTATAAGGGAGCTCATTACCTTATTCACTGTTACTGCCCCAAATTTTAAAACAGACTAAATATCAGCCATTAAGGAAATGGTTAGATTGATTTTGGCAAAGAAAAGGTAGATATATATGGATTCATGCCATAAGTTCACTACGATACACTTTTGAATTATATACACCACACGCACAATTTCCAGAGACTGAAAACATATACTACAAACTGTTAGTATGTTTATCTCTAACAGAGCAGAGTTGGGGAATACACTCTGAGTTGTATGAATTTTTATAATGAGCATTTATTATTTATATAAAAAAAAAGATATTTACATTTTGAAGAGAAAAAGAAAGACTTCTCTGTGTTGATAAAGTCTGGAGCTCCTCTGAGGAAAACGGTCCTCCCACAAGCACTGAAAGCTGCTTCAATACCCGAGCTGGTTTCCTCCCAGGCAGTCCTGCAAATAAGAAGCTGGGGAGGTAGCAAGAGTTTCAAAGCACTTGAAAACAAAAACAAACTAACAAAGATCAAAGGCAGCTGAGCTCTTCTCCTGAAACTACAGTCAGCCTTGCCTTAATCTTAGAACAAGGCATTCACCTGGTCCTCAGAAAGCTTTCTTGTCTCCTAAACCAGAGGTCATCCAAAGGACAGGCAGACCCTGAGGCTGAGAAGGGAAGTTCTGAGTGACAGTTAGGGGAGTGGCAGTTGGAGCCTGGGGTGGGACAGAGTCCCTGCTGCCTAGGAGAGGGGCTCTGAGTCAAGTCTATGCTTAGACTCACAGTGGTTAAAGGGTCATGGCTGATGTGCTGTGTCCTGAGTCTCAATGAGGCCCTACCCCTGAACCTCCAAAACCAACTACAGGTGAAGGAGAGTCCTAAAACCTTGGTCCAAGGCTTCCAGGCGCAGGGGTGGGAGCCATGGGACACACGTACAACTGTATTAGGTTATGACACGGAAGGTGTGTCTGTGGAGGAATGTGGACATCAGGATGCCTCTCCTGAGGATGACAAAGGGAAAGGTCAGCAAGAGTATCTGCCTAGGCTCTCCTCTCCTGCACCATCTCTGTCTCGTCCACAATCTCTCTCCCTAGTTTGTCGTCAGTTGACAACTTGAGTTAACTATGTTTTCCCAAGGTTACATGTCAGGGGGGAGTAGAACTAATGCCTTGACCAACCTGGTCAAAAGAAATACTTCCCCCTCCTCCTCCTCTTCCTCTTTCTCCTCCTCCTCCTCCTCCTCCTCCTCCTCCTCCTCCT